TAATGTCATTAAATGACAGTAATTTATTTATAGAAATACATTAATTAAGATTCTTTTTAATCTTACCCATTGATTATTATAATATGTGGTTGAGATTGGTTCTCACAGTTACCACAAACAATTCAGTTCTCATTTGATTAAGCCCCTATATATATATATATATATATATATATATATAATTAAACACATTCATGATGAATAAGGACATGTTATTAATCATGAATGAGATATTCATGATGAATAACATGTTCATATTCTTGATGAATATGCTATGTGTCGTTGCACTGTAAGCGGTGTATGGGTTCCTAATTAGTTTTAGGTTTCTAAAGGGACCTGTCCCTATATATATACAACTTCAATTTTGAAATCCGAAAACCAATTTATGTGTTCTTTCATAGATGAAACGTCAAATTATACTTTGTTTGTGGAAAAAAAACACAAAAATACGTTTAAATATGAAATACACACTCATACTCGCTACTCGCACACAAAAAATAAAACATATCAAACAATTGAATCATAGGTTAAGATCAAACTCATTTGATGTTTGAATTGATTTTACATGTCTTGTTTAATTCTCTTATGAAACAAGACATGAAACTGGTTTTCATTGTTTATAACTTTTATACTGTATTTCACGATTCTCTCTCTCTCTCTCTCTCTCTCTCTATATATATATATATATATATATATATAGGTTGGGGTTTAAACGAGAACGGTACTATTTTTAAAGAATGCGAGGACACTTGAAAAAGGTAACCATCAATGTGATACTATATCGGAGACGAAACAGTGTGTGGGCAACTTGGCATGCGATCTAGGTCGTCCATGTCCATCATGTGTGTTTCACGACTTTATCACATGTGATGATAGTTTGTTTGAGATTTCATTACATGTGATAAACTGGTGATATGCATAAGATGAACATATATGACCTACATTATTTCATTCCCATACAATATCACATGTAATAGTTGCTTATTTCATGTGTTTTCATTCATATATATATATATATATATATATATATATAGGGTTGGGTTCATGTGAGACCAAAGGTTTTTCGTGAGATCCGTAAGACCAATTTATATTTATTGATCAACTTTATAAACTAATGATCTAATGGTCTAAAGTTACACGGTGACATTTTTGTAATTATTGAGAAGTCTCGTGGCGTTTATGAATGTTCAGATCTGATGATTGTAAATCTAATCCAAGGGTTGAGAATTGATCTTACGGGTTTCACGAAAAACTATTGGTCTCATATGATCCCAAGTCTATATATATATTTCAAAGAGTATGGGTCCCCACTTCAATAATGAACACATGGAACCACACAGAGGCAGTACTTTGGTGACTTTCCTTGAATAACAATCATTTGGCTTTCAGATTTTGCTTTAAAACATCTCAAACTTTAAATTTCATTAATAGTCTCAATTTATAAAAAAAAATTTAGTAAGAAGTTGTTTGTTTACTTCTTAATAATTTTATTAAGAGGCAATCTTTGAATCGTTAATAAGTGAATCTTGTTTGACAAAAAAATTTTTTATCTCTTAATGGTTCTAATTAAAACTCTCTGAATGATTTTGTATTGTGGACCTCCCTTAACCCCTGATTTTATTCTGAATAATTACCAAACAATTATATTTTATTTTGCACTATATTATAAGAACATCTTAATTATTCTACACCAAACCATAATTGTAACATTGATTACGCTAATTCTTAATAAAAAGAAACTATTTATCCAATGGATTTTCCTTAAAACAATCTCCAAGCAAATACGGGATATATGTTATAAATTTCCACCAAAAACAAAATAATATAGTCAACAACCGACGATTTTCGGTACTATAAGTCGGATCCATAAAATACAAATATATCTACCCAAGAGTATTATATACCTAGATCCAACTCAAACGATATATGCACAACGAGTACCAAAAAGATGTCCAGGATCTGAAATCCTACAAGCAGATCTAAGCTGTCTTATCTCTCCCTTGGGCAGCTACCGACTTTCCTGAAAGAAAATTTATTCTAAAAAGAATAAGCGACAAGGCTTAGTGAGATTATACCAAAGCTTATAATTATATATTTTATATGAACAAAACAATTCATTGACGAAACAAAACAAAAAGAATCGCTTATTTATGAATTAGACCGTAAAATTAAAAATAACTGATAGAATCTTTTGTCCAGAGCGCAGTACAACCAGAGGGCCTCTGGTCCCGAAGGACTTGAAATCCATGACACAATACAACCAGAGGCTCACAGACATTAAAAATTGCAAAAACCTTGTTTTATTTTTATATTTATAAAAAAATAAATTATTTAACAAATAGATGAAAAATCATTTAACCCAAGCCTTCCATTAAAAAGGTTAGTTTCATAGAAAGAGGTGTCCCCATGGATATGAATGAATTGAAGAAAGGGGCAAAATAGAGAAAACTTCCAAAATAAGTAATGCTACAAAACCCTTTTTAGCACTTCAATTATGCATCAACATATTATTTTGGATAATATTTTTTACTTTTTATTTTATTTTTTCTAATTTGATCGAAATACCCAAGTTTTCATAAGTGTTCATTTTACAACTTGCGAAATGTAAAAAATACATTTCGCAAGTTGCGAAATAACACTTGCAAAATTTTGACTATTTTGATCAAATTAGAAAAAAAAATAGGTTAAAAAGGAAAGAATGCATTAATTACTAAATAACAAAAAAAAAAGATTAGAAAACTTAGAGTTGTTCATGGGTGAGACGACCCGTTAGACCCGGCTCATCCGGCCAGCTAGAAATACGGGTTTGGACAATTATTATCGAGAAAAGGACGGACATGGGTTTGTTTGTTAAAATTAACTGGCAGTCATGGACAATGTAAAAATAAGTATGGACAGGCTCGTCTGGCCCGTTTATGTTTTATAGTTAATATTTTTTTACTATTAATTAAAACTATACTAGTATACTTTAAAATTAAATTATTAAAGTTATAGGATGGGAGTTGAGACTATTTGGTTTTTCTTAAGAACACAAACGGCTCTACGTTATCTTTATTAGCATTCTTATGTCAAAAGTCATAATCGATCAACAATGGATAAAGTCAGTAGTTGCTTAAAATTTTAATTGCAACGGTGTTTTTCATTTACTTTTTGGTTCCAAATTTGTTAATTAAGAGTTACACTTTTTAGACCCGGTAGCCCTTGGGCAGGCCCAGCCCGTTTATATGACGGACAATGGCAAGTAGTCAAGCCCGAAAAAAAGGGCTTGAGTTTACAATATTAGGCTCGTTGGACAAAAAAACAAGTTAGGCCCGGCCCCGACCCACAAATGATCACCTCTAATTAAAACCCTTGGGAATTAGAAAAAATTATATCAGTTTTCACGGGTTTGCATTTAAGACAATGTGTAATTAGATGCATTGCATTTTCGACGGATCTAATCAATACAAGTTTACATTTTCTATAATCATTATACGTCACATTTACTATCAAAACAGTCAACAATGTTTATTAATTATCATCAACCCGCCAAGGCTTTTTTCGTCCTCCTTTTTTAGTCGCTCGTAGGGGTCTGGACCCCACAAAAGGGGAGGGTGCCAACTAGGCATCTCAGCTGTTCGAGGGAATTTCGTCGGCATCCAATCTCCAATTGGTCACCCCGGATGATAGTGATGGGTGAATTGTGACCTCATACAATCATGTCGAGTGAGCAAGAATCGGTTCGTTCACCTATCAGTCAAAACTATTACACCCTTTGTCGTCTACGTTTCTATTTATGTTTGTCCCAAAATAAATGTCTATTTAAGCTAATAGATAACTAAATTTTTCATATCTATCATTTGTTAATGTACAAATATTTACGAGTTAATGAAGAGATAAATTTATTAAGGGTAAAATTGTCATTTGGTTAACTTGTAACAATTATACATCTGTCCAAAATTATTTCATTTTTATTGTGGACACTTATTTTGAAATAGAACTAAACAAATTTCAAACAACCCCTAAAATCATACACATTAACATTTATAGTAAAGTCCAATTTTGGTCCCTAACATTTGCAATTTTCAGCGAATATCATTCCTAAACTTCAAAAAACCGGATTTAGTTCCTCATGTTTCTCAATTTCCAACAGCTTTGGTCCCTCTTTCTAACAGTCGTTGACTTTCTTCGTTAAGTTCAGTTAAATAAGGTATTTTAGTCATTTTCTTAATTTTATATTAAAATTAAAATACATATTATATTTTTAATTTTATATTGTCAAAAAAAAAAAGACGGCAACCATCTTTCGTATTTTCCTTTTCCCTTAATATAATGAAAATGACTAAAATACCCTCATCAATTGAACTTAACGAAAAAAATAGCGAGCGTTAAACAGAGAGATTAAAATAGTTGAGAATTGACAAATGCAAAGGACCAAATCCGAGTTTTTAAAGCTTAAGGGTAATATCCGTTAAAAATTACAAACATAGGACCAAAATTGAATATGTTTTAAATTTTTATAATTATTTTAAAAAATAGAAAAACTAGTTAATATTGGGTGTCAAAAACTCAAAATAAACATGTGAACATGTAATGGACCCATGAAATAGCAAAAGAAGCCATAATTCACAAAACTCATTTGACACCATTCCTTTTTGCTACTTCAGCTTTTTGTCTCCCAAACCCATGTGTAGATACAGACTTATGTTTCATTTCGGTTTTCGATTGATGAGTCAGATCACGTTTCGACAATTTCATCAAGTATCGTGGACAGTTTTATGTCAGTTCAATCATAAACCACTGTTTACAGCCACACCTGTATTATTGTATGTCTTATTGAAACGTCGTAAAATATTCTCCTATTTTGAAATTGGGATCTTCGGCACCATAGTACGTTTGGAACGTAAAGATACGGACATGGTGCATCCTGCAAACGCATCTGCATGATTCACATATGAATTCATGAGTTAATATGAATTCATGAGTTAGAATTAATATGAGAGCGATGTAGTCCATGTGGCAATCCACCTTGCATTGATAAGGGTAGGGTCATGGTCATGGTCATAGAGGTGGACAAACTGGTTGATCAATCGAGCCTTTAACCGATCGTGGTCCTTAGCGGTTCTAGCCATAACCTGTTTCTTAGCCGGTCCCTCTAAAAAACCTGTAACAAACGTAACCGGTTCTTTTAGTACTTTTAACAAGATTTTGATTTCTTTTAGTTTGTTAATATTTCAAATAAACTCCATATAATATAAACATGTTCCTTTTACTATGATCAAAAAGTGTATTTTAAAACACAATAAATCAGGTTTCGGGAACACGAAATTTGAAGTTTTTGAAAGTGTTTTGATTTATGTGAATAAACCGTCAACTCGAATTCCTATTTATATTCAAGCAAATGAGCAAAATGGTCCTCAGAAAAACCGGAAAAAAGGTAACCGGTCCTTGTAATTAGACCCCGGTAACATGTCCAACCTCAAAAAATCATAAATAACCGTAGTTTGTCGGGATTTTTAGTACCCGGTCTAGGTCTTGGTCTCTAAGCGCCTTATTGGTTTGCGGAACTTGGAATTAGATTCCATTCTATTCAAATTCACGTTTGGTTTAAATGAAAGTCCGGAATTAAAATCCGGGATTTCAATGTAATCCAACAAACATTAGATGTGAGCACTTTTATTTGGAATTGGGTTCCATTCCAATAACTCGTTTTAGGTGTTTTTACTTTCATTTAAAGGGGCGTTTAGTAAAGGCTTACCGGGTATGCGCTTACCTTACCGAGTGAAGATAGTAAGAACTGAGAATCTTTACCCAGTAAGAGGGTATTGCAAGAACTGAGAATTTTACTCGGTAAACATTTACCGGGTAAAAGACACTTACCAACAATCTATTTTTTGATGGAAGAGAATGTTACCTAATAAGGTAAACAAGGTTGGTGATTCTTGCTAATAAACACTTTATCTGATAAGCGTTTGATAAAGAACCTCCTATCATGACAATATAACGGGGAAAAAGAAGTTTTTACGATGATTTATTTTTCTCTTTCTTAATCATTAAAAAAGTTTCCATTTTTCAGTAGTAAAGACCAAAATTACCTCTTTTATCTTCATTCTCGTATCCTAATGAATTCTGCTTGACACCACATAAATCGCACTCCTGAAAAGCTGCAATCACAAGTCACAACTACTCAAAGTACAGAATTCGAATACAAGTATTCTTACCAATGACCGTGTCTATGAATATATATATATATATATATATATATATATAACTCGACTTGCAACATGGGTTTCTGACAAACATTCTTCATCTTCTCCACTTCACTTGCAAGTGATGTAATGTATCTTCCATTAAAAAATATTGCATCTGAATCCAAACTATATCCCAAATTCCAATAACCCTTTTTTATGCCAGATTTATTATAGAAATCCTGGGAATTTGTGATCAAATCTACCCAATTCTAGACTCTTTAAACAAGATAAATTTGCAGTACTTACTGGAATTACTGATGCTGTGATGGTATGTAGACTCGGGTGTCCAAATCTGATGATCCAAAATGGCAAAAAGGAGATGGCTCAGTATTCTCAAGAGATTCTTCATCTTTGAAACCTGTCAAAACAGAGCAAAGGTATGTATATATATACATATAGACTGTTGTATCTATTTGATCAGAAACACCAACACCCATGTTTGTTTACTTGTACATTCTGTGTTCCACAGACCTTACATCTGTATCTGTGTGAGATATTACTGGATTCGTTTGGTTAGTTTTAATTCTGACTGTTGTATGTTTCAGGAAAAGAAGAGGAGATGGGTATTGGGGAGGCATAAGTTGAAAAGGATAACCTCCCAATCAGCACCTATAGAGAGACCACCATCAGGACCTAAAGGTCTGCCGGTGGCTCAAGTAATTGATGAACTCAAACGGGTATCGGATGGCAACATTCAATCCTCATCATCTCAACACGGTGATGAGGAGAGGGAGAATGGTGCAGCCATCAAGATTCAAACGGCATTTCGGGGATTTCTTGTATGCTCTTTTCTTGCCGGTTGATATATTTTCGATTTTCCATCAACATTAAACAATCTTCTTTCATTTGAAAGGGTCAGTAGGTTAAAATGACAAGTTATCCATATATTCATTCAATTGCATCAACAGCCCTTAAGTTTGTTTATTGTTATGGGGAGAATCCAGAACAATTGATTGAAGAGGGTAGATGCAATCAAGAACAGCCAAAACATAACTTCTGACTTTTAAAGTCAATATCACCAACTTTCAAGTTCTAAATTAATATGAATTCTTTGAAATTTGTAGAAATATCAAAAGCAAATTATCCGAAACTAGATCAGATATTTGGGTAAAAAGGCAGCCAGAAAAGCTAGCAAGCAGTGAATAGAAAATTTAGATTCAAATGTCATAAGTTTGACTAAAAAAGTCAAAGTACACCCCTCCATTAGATTGGAGAGTAACTTCATACCATAGTTATGTGTTTTGCCTTATGTTTTAGGCAAGAAAGGCTCTAAGGGCATTGAAAGGATTGGTAAGGCTACAAGCCATTATTCGCGGGCATTTAGTTCGACATCAGGCGGTCACGACTCTCAAGCGTTTGCAATCCGTCATAAATATTCACTCACAAGCATGTGCAAAGAGAATCCAGGAGGTGGACTGCTGCCCTTCTCATAATTGTTATCAAGAAAATAAAGGAAAGGATTCAAAGGTTGGTTACTGCCATTTTCCAATTATTTTCAAGTTTCTTATGTTTTATTTCCGTAAATTTTGTTAGCAAGCTTTATCCTTTCTTTCCACACACTTTACACAAGTCAGGGGTCTTCACAGAAAGAACCGTTCTAGATGTCAGGTCTGTATACATCTCACCCACCAGACCCCACCTCCAGGTGGGACATGCTAGGCTTGTTTGGTTTGGTTTGTTATACTGGGTTTGTTTGGTTATATACTATAAAACCGTGCGTCCGTGCCACGCTAATAACTCTAAGATCGAGAGCCAGAGTGCTTCCTTCTCATTGCTCTAGAGCAATGCCAGCAGTTTACAATTAAATTAGCTTTCTTGCCTTTTAGCTTGATTTTCCACTCTTCTTAATGCGTTTTGGTTGTCAAATGAATATGCAAGAATGTACATGTCGAGATGAACAGTCAGAAGAGGTGGGATGACAGCATTCTAACAAAGGAAGAGGAGAATGCTATGTTGTGCAGCAAGAAAGAAGCAGCTTTGAAGCGAGAAAGGATCAAAGAGTATGCATTTAACCACAGAGTATGTGTGTGCTTTGTGTTTATAATTACAGTTTGACTTTCAAGTTCATAAGAGTAAATTCCATTTTGAAGATTGGCATGAATTCCTTCAAAATAGTATGATAAAGGTCGATAGATACATCAACTTAATAGAAAGATTGGACAAAAATAAAAATACTTTTGAGAAATCAATTTGACCTCAAAAGTCAAACTTTACTTCTCTATTACTAACAGAGGTAGTTTCAGAGATCAAACCTGTCCTTTCTGATCCTTGTTTGTTTTTTGCTCAGATGTCATCAGAATCTGAACAAAGCAAAGTAAATGAAAAATGGAGGTACTGGTTAGAACACTGGGTGGATACACAATTAGCTAAAAGAGAAGATCTTCAAAACCTGGGAAAGAAAGAAGTATTTGAAAGTCAAAAAGTCAAATTACGGAATCTGAAGGGAATGGATGCTCCAACATATATCTCAAGAGTGACCCATCACAGGAAACAACGTTCCATTGGAGAAGAACACTCCATTTCTATGGTGGGTTCTCCTGTGTTTCCGACTTACATGGCTGCAACTGAATCTGCAAGAGCAAAATCCAGATCATTAAGCTCACCAAGACTAAGACCGCTAAGCATAGATACATGGTCGGCCACCAATTCCCCATATAAGCATAAGCTGTTGTCTCCTATATCTTCCATCAATAGTGATGCAGGCAGTAGTCGGGTTTGGAATGTTAACGGTCGTGGTGGTGGATTCTCGCAGAGATCTCCAAGCCTGAAAGGGGTTCCTGGTCATGTGAAATCATACAAAACTTCCAAACATCTCAGCTTTAATTCAGAATGCTCAATGCCAAATTGGGATCAGCTGGGCCACTTCAGATGATCATATGCTAGCAAAATTCTGATGTCAATATATTATATCTTGGAAAGAGGACGGTACCCCTGGCAAGGTTAATATATTATATCTTAAAGGTAATGCATAAACAATACATCAGTTGCTGTACCATAAATGTTGCATCTGTGATAGGTAATCCCTCCATCTTTCCTGCACTTGTTACCAAAAAAGAGTCTAGCTCGAGATGCAAGTAGACCAAATTAAAGTTCAGACAAGTGGCAGTATTCGATATTCACTGTATTTGTCATAAATTTCAATGAAATTATCATAATTTTCTCGAAAATATTCCACCACCCATATCAATCTTTAAGTTAAAAAGTAGTATGCTTAGCTAAAAGGCCGAGCTTTTTCCTATTCTGAACCGATGGCATACGATAAAATGAAGTCATGAACAATATGCTTGTCAAATTAATAAAAACCCTTTTAGAAACAAGCAACAAAGAGTAATTGTGAAGCTTCTGAATTGGATTAAAGTGTAGATGATCAAGAAAAATTGTATTTCTAGTATCAAAGTGCCAAACCAAGCACAAAAGATATCGTTTACTCACAAAATATACCTCAAAATAAGCAAAAAGATCTCACATCAGGTATCTTTTAAGTACTCAAAACAAGACCATGCAAACCTGAAGACTAAAGTTAATCTTCAATGTCATAATTGCCTTCACTGCCAGAGGACTCGTCACTATCGTCAATGCAAGGGCGCCGATATGCAAAGTACTCGATTCTTTGTAAACTCTCCTCAAGGTCACCTTCGACTTTGAGATTCACATTCAAACTTCCGTCAATATCGAGATGGGTAAGTGACTTACAATTGTTAACGATTTCAGAGAGACCAGCATTACTAAAACGGCCATAACAAAGTTCAAGTTGTTGTATATTCGACATTGTTTTGGCTATCATTTTTGCTTCAGAATCGTCAATTAGATTGGCACAGGTTCGTTGAGTGGACATGTTCCTCTTCAAACAAACCAAAGACTTGCATTGGTTTCCAAAAGCTTCGAGACCTTTGACTGTAATTTTGGAGCAGTCGCTAATATCCAGCACTTTCAGATTTGGTAGCGATGTGATATGCTTCAACACCATATCATCAGTGACATCGCTCATCGGCATTTGCAGCACAGTCAAACATTTTCCACTGCAGAAATAAAGAGGAAATGAAATAACGTGTTTACACTCTTCTTCATATGCTATAACTACGAATGTCTCATATGTAATTTCGTATATGTGAGAATATATAGAACCCGGTTATTGGATTACTCTCCAAAAGAACCCGCAGAGAAGGGATAGAAATGGTCCAAGTCTAACCGATATGGGATTCAACCACACCTATCCAACGGCTCCAATGAAGGCTAGAAGGTCACAAATTATCCCACCCGATTGCACCAGTGTCGAGTCCAGGAATGGTACATGACATTATGTGGAACCCAGTTAGATTACTCAGCAAAAGCAGAGGTTTCTAAATTCTAACATATTTTTAGGGAAAATGGTCCAAACCAAGTTGATATCGAACCACTACATTACTTTCGAAAAGAGTGATTCCAACATATATCCAGAAGAACTAATCCAGGTATGTACGACTCCAACAACAGTGTGTCTCCATCAGCAATTTGGCAAGTTCATTTTCATCATGATTCAACAAAATCTAAACAAAATATAAGCAACAAATTGGATCAACTTCAAACGTATACACATTACATACCGGTTGGCGACGATGACGAAGCCAGGGTTTCCCAATCGGTAGGCGGAGAGACGTTGAAACGTACACTTGCTCCATCGTACGAGCTTGCCGACAGCCAGGTCCACTACACGACTATCGTTGCGACGTCGACACCAATCCGCCACATCGATTTCAAGCCAGCAGTACGGTCCTGCCACCGCCTCCATCCACGGCTTACACACCAATGGCACTTTTCTCACCATCTCGTCCGCCGGTATCCTTACAAAGATCAATGCCAGTATCTCAGGGTTCAAATCCTCCCACCTCCCTCTCTCATCCTTCACCGCCACCGCATTCTCCTCGCCGGAAACCACCCTTCGCGTTTTACTCATTTTCGCCTAAAATTCTCTATTTTGTGAAAAATATTGGCCGCGTTCATTCACAGTCAAGTTGTTTTCTTCTATTTCAGTGTTTTTTCTTCGTAAGAGTAAAATACAAGTTTGGTACCTAAACTTTAATTATTTAACGTTTAGTCCCTACACTTTAATTATTTAACATTTTACTTATCATTTCCTTTTTTTTTATCGTAATTTGAAAAATAATCGTGTACAACTCATAATACAAAATGTACAGATTGGCATTTAAATACGTTATTAAAAGAACAATTGTTTGAAGCTCTGGCAGAAGTAACATGAATTAAGGTGAAATCAGATAAAGAAGGATTTTATCACTGGTTTTCAAGCTAAATATCTTCTTATAGAACCATTAGTAATAACTAAGGGGCTGTTTGGCAGTTGCTGAATGGTTTGGTGCAGAATGGTTAAGTGGTCAGAATGGTCAAGAGGGTCAGAATGGTTAAGTACTGAAAGAAATATGGTTGTTTGGTAAATATTCTCTGAATGACAACAAATTACTATTTTACCCCTCTATATGATTTAATCCAAACCAAGGTTCTGTTAGCATCCAAAATGAACGGCGACGGTAGTTTCAATCCGTCAGAATGATCGGCGATGATTTCATACAGAAAATGAACGGCGACGGTAGTTTCGATCGGCGACAGTGCTTCTTTAATGTTTTTAGCCTTGATTCAACATGAGATTTCATACAAGAAATTAGGGCTTCGATCGGTGACTGTGGTTTCAATCGGTGATTGTGGTTTCGATCGGCTATGGTTTCATACAGAAAATGAACGGCGACGGTGGTTTCGATCGGCGACTGTGGTTTCGATCGGTGGTTTCGACCAGAAAATGAATGGCGACTATGGAGACGGCGACTGTGGAGACAAAGACGATGGAGGCGGAGACGATGGAGACGGCGACGATGGAGACGAAGACGATGGAGACGGGGACGGAGATGGTGGAAGGACGGAGGCGACACAGCAGCGGGCAAAAATGGATCGATCGATTGGAAGGAGGAGAGGAGAGGAGACGAGACGAGATCGATTGGAAGGAGGCGACACAGCAGAGGGCAAAAATGTCACCAGATCCCTCTGAATCGTTGAGGGGAGCCCTAGCCCCTAAATGGTTAAGAGGCTTTTGTCACCATTAAGAGGTCCTTTTTTTTTTGCCAAACAACTCTAGCTTCTTAGCGATTAAGAGGTGTTCTCTTAATGTCACCGTTAAGAGGCAACCAAACAGCCCCTAAGTAAACGACTAAAATCCACATTAACATGAGATTGTCCAAGTAACCGTTATAAAGGGTTTTACAGTAATTGATACATATAATGATTTTTATAGTTGATTTAAAACTTGATAGTTGAATTAGAAAACTTATGAGAACATGTTTTATACAATACCCATTTAAAATATTAAAACGAAAATAATTTTAAAAAGGACTAAAATACCCTTATAACAGCACACATGTAAAAAAATCAATTTCTTCTTGATCGATTAACAGAATCCTAGGTCGAGACTGATGGGGATAGAACAAAGTTACTATTTATATTGTGTTTAACAACATGATTAGCATGAAAATCTAAATCTAAAGAAATGTGAATTTATTTTCACTCTTATAGACTAAATATGTAAGTTGACTACAAGTTAAGGGACTAAACTTGTAATTCACAGAAAGTATGAACTTGGAGATGATGGTGGTAGTAGACGTGGGCCCGTACGGAACGGTTAAGGGGAAAACTAGACATCTTCGTTTTGTATTATTTTTATTTATTTAATTTTAAATCAATTTACGATGACTAATAAATAGTTATCCGGTAAACGTTTATCAGTAAATTTAACATTATCATTTATTTATCGGATAATATTTTAGTCCATGAAAATAGAATCGTATGCAAATTGACTATTTAAAAGTTTTTGTTTTTTGTATATTTTCTTTAATTCAATTTTTTTTATAATTTAATTTATACTTAATAACAAAGTAATTTATTTTTGATTTAATAATATAATTTTTTATAAGAATAATAATTAAGTATTCTGTTAGAAATCAGTTGATTATCTTAATTATATTTTAGATTTTTTTTATATTCTTAATGAAATGTTTATCTTGTATTTTTTACTATGTTTATCTGCAGTAATTATATGAATTCAAAAATGAAACTTTAATAAGTTGTACGTTTGCACAGTTTATCTGTAATCTTGAACTTTAAGTAATGTGCATCAATAAACAGTACTTCATTTCCGATCATTGCCCCATTCTTTTGAATGTTAATGATCTTTCTTTGGGGCCTAAACCTTTCATGGTTGGGTATTGATGATTTTCAAAAAACGGTCATTTCCTCTTGGTCTTCAAGCTCCTTTCTTGGGGATGCTGATTTCGTGTTAAAGGAGAAGGTTAAAGCTCTTAAAAAAGACTTGAGAATTTGGTCAAAAAACTTCTTAGCCAATGAATCAAAAAAGAAAGATGAGATTCTCAAAGCCTTGTTTGATTAGGATTCTAAAGCTGAAATGGGGGGTATTTCAACTATAGATTGCCAAAAAARAGATGAATGGATCTTTGATCTGATGCTGTTGGACAATAGAGCAAAGTTGAATATCCAACAAAAATCGCGCTCCAAATGGGCTCTAGAAGGGGATGAAAATTCCAAGTTTTTTCATAATTTTATTAACTATCGTCGGAGAAGGAACAACATCAAAGAGATTATTTGCGACGGGGTTTGGAACTCGGATCCCTTGGTTGTCAAAAGTGTTTTTTTACAGCACTTCGCTGACAGATTCAAAGAGCCTTGCTTCTCTAGACCAAAGTTCATCAGTCCTCTGTTTGCTAAATTGTCGCCTTTTGAAGCTGATTYCCTGGAATCRTCCTTCTCMGCTTTAGAAATAAAAGAGKCTGCTTGGTCTTGTGATGGGTCRAAAGCTCCTGGGCCTGACGGTCTAAATTTTAATTTCATTAAGAAACTCTGGCCAGTGATTGGCAGGTCTATAATTGAGGCGGTTTTTTTCTTCGAAAATTCGGGCAGGTTATCCAAGGGATGCAATGCTTCTTTTATTGCCCTAATTCCAAAAAAAA